CACACACATGTAGATGCCTGCCCAGTGTGGGTTTACTCTAGAGCAAATTACTGTAAACTCACCCTAGAGCATTTGCATGTGTAGACACACCCCTTGAGACCTATTTCTACTGTGCTGTCCACAGGATGTAGTCAGCTAACAGCAGCTGGCCAGATGCTCAGTAGGGATTTGATTTTAAATGGATGAGTTAAGACTCTCACAATCAGCATCAAGATGAATCCATAAATTGAAAGCAGGACAGAAACATTAGTGAAGCAAGGTTCCCAGTGTTTCCTCTATGGAATCAACCATCATTACTCATGTCTAAAGAATGAAGATAGGAGAGAAAATGCTCCTGTCCTCTTTCCAGGCATGTGTGACACCAGTCGTTTCCCTGAAGAGAAATTCTGACGCTTGAATTTGGGACTTCAGCATTTGTACAGTGTTACTCAATTCAGAATCATTTTTGCTTCCTGCTACCAGAAAGTGCTCAAATCCTCCATGAGTCCTCACACTACTTTCTACCTTAGCGCCTTCCTCTCCTTTAAAAGGTACTGTGCTGTGGTAACCAGCCCCTGACAGAAGGATGGATATGGCTTCTTCCAGAGCCCAGACACTGCTCAACGAACCCAGGAGAGAGCAGTAAAGGTCACTCCAGTGGGACCTGTGTGCTGAAAGCACCTGACCTTGACTTAGATGATACGATCACTGCAGGCACTAAAGTCTAGCCATAGCAACACATTGTTCACTCAGCTTCTCTGGTGGCCTTTGCCCGGAGCTCTAGGCTGCTATATCTGGGCTACTTACTTGGATGCTGGCTTGGATATGTCTGCACTATAGTGAAGTCCCACCAATGACTGCAGAATGGACATCCCCTGGATTGGAGGCAGTTATTTAAGTTGTGCTGTCCTGGCTTATATGCATGAACAGAAATCCACAATCTTACCTTAGAGAAGGCACCAACACTATTCGCACGTTCACCAGCGGTGACGTCTTGGGGCCCATCTCTCAAAAGCAGCCTGCTGGGATCAGGACACTCATCGAGGGAACAGGTCTCGACACAACTCGTGGTTGATGGTTCGTTGCCAGAAAGCCATTGTCCAGAGGGGGAGGATGTTGTGTCAGGGACAGTGCCAGAAGTCTGTTCAGCCTCCCCTTGAGAATCTGCAGGGCACTTCTCCAAGCCAAGGGATCCCTCAGGATCTTTGTTTAGTTCCAGAGGATCCTGGCTACAGCTAGAAGTCCGTTTAGCCTCAGATGAAGAGTCTGCAGGGCATGTTTCCAAGCCCAAAGAATCCTCGCCATCCTCACTTAGTTCAAAAGGGTCCAGGGTACTGTTTAAGGATACATATTTTTCAGGGTTGCTGTGCTCTACCACCTTCCTTGTACTGTTTAGGAGTTTACTCGGCTTGCTGTAGAAGAGAGCGATCCACATATGAAGTATCAGCTTCTTGTCTTCCACGTCGTCAGGTAAATCAGGGTTCCAGGGCCTGGATGGAAAACAAACACATCTGTGAACCCCTGCCTCATTTCTGTGGTGGTTTTGCAAAATCCAATCCCAGCGGCTCAAAGGATTCAGAAGTCTCTAGTATGATGCATTTATTCTAGGACAGGGGTGCTCAACCTCTGGCCCATGGGCCACATGTGGTCTGTGGAAGAGCCCCTACATCTGGCCTGCAGGGCTCCCCATGGGGTGGGAAATTTAGCGGTGGGAATGGTGGCCACTAATATGGTCACTTCCCGCCCTCCCCTGCCAATTTCCCAAACCCCAAGCTCTGCACTGCCAGTTGCAGATGGGCCACATCCCCTGCCCCCAGGACCAAGCCAAGCCCCCTTTCCCTGTGCAGCTGGGTCATGCCCCTGCAGGGCCAGGATGGGGTTGGGCCAAACGCTCTTTCCCCCACAGGGCCAGGCCATGCCCCCTTCCCCTCCTGCAGGGCTGGGTAAGAGTGGGCTATGTCCCCTTCCCTTTTCCCTGTGGAGCTGGGCCATGTGACCCCAGCACCCATTCCTGCCTGGGGCAGGGGGTCGGACCTGATGATCTGTTTAGGTCCCTTCCGACCCTAAGCACTATGATACTCCCTTCCCCTCGGGAGCCTGGTTGCACCTGGGCTGCCCCCCCATGTCCCTCCATGTGGCTGGATGGTGCTCACTGCACCAGCCCTGGAGCACAAGTGGGATCCAGCCTGCGGACAGATGGGGCATAACTCATTTGACCTGATGGGGGAAAAAGGTTGAGCACCATGGTTCTAGGGCATCACAAATGAGGCTGATATATGGGGGGTTTCCTTCCAATTTCTCTGAAAGAGGTAGACAGAAATCAGCATGTGGTATGTCTGCTCTCAGTTGACTGGATGTGAATGCCAGGTACAGATGAAAAAGCAGAGATCCTAGGTTCCTTTAAGTTGATATAAAACAAGCAGTCACCAATCAGAAAAGGCCAGAGCTGGATGACAAAGTTCTGCTGCTCCAAATACCATATTCTCTCGCATACAACACATCCTGGAATAGAAGATGCACCTTGTTTTGGAAAGATGGAATAATGGAAGGAAAAGATCTTACCCTGTCGGGGGTAACTGAGCAGCAGCAGCCAGGGAGCTGAGCCTGCTCATGGTTCTGCTCCCTCTGGATGGCTGCAGATTTTACTTCTGCTTTTACTTGGTATTACCGTATTTATTTTTATTTTACTGTATTTCTCACATACAATGTGCACCGAAATTTCCATCAGCTGGTTGTTGGGGAAAAGGTAGGTGTTGTATGCCAGCATATATGGTATGTATGTAAAGACCATGCCCGCTCACAACCAATATAGCTCTGCTGACAAAACCCTTGGGTATGGACACCATACTGCTGACAAGAGGGATTTCATTGGCCTGTATCAGGGCTGTCCAACTGGCGGCCAGAAGCCCCCAAGGTCCTGTCCAGCCACTGCTCCTCCTGCTGCTGCCAGGGTCTCCAGACTCCCTCTCCCTTGTCCAGCTTTTACTTCCTTCCCCGCCACTGGCTGTGGGCTGAGCAGCCTGCAGAGGCCTACAGACTCCACAGCCCATGCAAGGAGAGGACTGCACTGCCCATACCTGTTCATGTGGTTGGGGTGGGGAGGGACAGGGGCTGCACAGCCTGCCCAAAGGGCCTGTGCAGTGTGCAGCTCCAAGCTGCTCATAAGTGAGGCCAGGGCTGTCCAACTTATGTCAGTCAGGGGAGAGTGTAGCAAAGCCAGGAAAAACCATTGCTTCTACTGCCAACATACCACATCTCCACTGCTGACTCTACTACAGGGGCAGAAGTGCCCTAGTATAGACGAGCCCACATAGACCCAGTTTTCCAAAACACTTCAAGAGCACAGCAGAGACATGGCATTAACTGCAGTGCAACATTTCTGGCCTCAGCACCTACCCGTGTAGAGCCCGAATGACGGTTTTCTCTAAGGAGTCTTTGGTGTACTGGCTATCTAGACTGAAGAGGTACTCGGCTTCCCACTGGCACGTCACTTTGACAGACCCGTCACAGCTGTTCACTGTGTGCGATTTGAAGAAGTCCTCTTTCAACCTGGGCTTTACCACCAAGTCCTTGAATTGCTTTGGCATGTGAGTGTTGTTCTGCTGATGCCGGAAAGGCAGCACCTTCCCAATGAGTGGGCCGGTCTTGGCGTTTTTGGCTCCATTCTTGGAGAGGGAAGAACCTTGCGCTCCTTTTGAGTGACCCTGTTTTTTAGGGTGCTCGGACATCAAGGAGGCGTAAGAATGCTCTGAGGAGATAGTAGAGTACTTGCTCCCCTCTAACATCTCTATGCCCTCCTTAGAGGGCAACGTCCGGGCTTTTGTCGAGTTAGGGCTGGTGCTGTTCTTCTTGTTGGAAATCACAGGGATTTTCTCTTTTGGGCTAGAAGCAAAGCCCTTTTTTGATTCAGAGTTTTCAGGAGATGAAAGTTTATGGTTATGTGTTTTGCTAGATGAGGATCCTCCCTTCGGTTGCTTATCCACCCGGTGATATTCGTGGTCAGAAGCCACTCGTGACGGCTTCTTCTTATGAAGACGGCGCTGCTCCTTTGCAGTGCCCGGAGGTAAGTTGGCACTATTGTCTTTAGGAATAATTGGGGGAACGCAAGAGCCCAGAGCGAGGTCAGCTAGCAAGTTCAAGGCATGAGATTCATAGTTACTTCCTTTCAGAGACAGGTTGATGTCTTGAGTGCCAACACTTTCTGTGTAAGCCTCATTTGTATCACCAGCTGTCCCTTGACTTTTCAAGGGGGCTTCATTTGGTGAGAGGGAGAATGACTCTTTTTTTGCTGCGTGAGAAAAATACAAGGTTACATATTCTATCAGAAGAAATGCATAAAGTACAGCTCTACTCCTACAGGTGACAAGTAAAAAGACAGTTCTCCAACAACAAGCTGGCCAATTTGCAGTAAAGTTCAAGAGACACCAGAGGTCAAATGTCACCATTATTATTGTTAAAGTCATACTTTAGGATAGGACTTAAGGTTATATTGTGGCAAGGGCTGTCCATAAAGCGAGGGGTTGCAAATCTAAAAGAACCTGAATTTGCCTACTTTGCACATACACTGTATAATCAAGTGTACATTTAACCATCCAGCTGGCAGGCAACAACACTACGTGTGTCCCAAATAAGTTGTTTTAACATGACATTTTGCACATGCAGCCTTCATCTTGCAGCAACGTGGTGTTTTGCTTTTGATTCTCTCTGCAGTTGCAAATAAAAGATCCCCCTGATGCATAATTAGTTCTTTCGAGAGCAGAGTTTGTGCACGTTCCCTTCAAAGACCATGCTCTTTATGCAGACTGAGGCACGGGTCTGGCACCTCCTAGAATCTGACCCCGCGGCATAGCAAATACATGACAGAAAGCTCTGTTTATTTTTTATGGACCATAGCAAGAGAGACCAATAAGTATTTGCAATCCGAGTCCAGGAAGTAGGAACATGCTTCAAAGTCTCCTCGCTACCTAACAAAGAGGCCAGACAGCAAGAAAGGCTGGAGGCAGCTGAAGAGCAGGATGTTGCAGCATGAGTGTGAAAAACACACACCTCATTTAAGAGTATAATGAAACTCCTGTTCCACCATTGATTTTGGCATGGTCACACCAGTTCTCAGTTTTAGACGCAGACTCTCCACGAGCCAACTTTTGCACGTGTTATATCAAAAAGCTTTCCACATTCCTTTGGAAACTCACTTTGCACGGGTGTGACAATCCCAGTACTTTTAAAACGACTGGATTTATGCAACAGGCAAAACCCCCCCTGCAAAATTGGTGAGATTCCCATGGCAAATCGAGGCTATGAGACGCAAGCCAATTTGCTTTAAACCGGTTTAACAGCTCGAAGTGTTCTGAGCTGTTAAAGCAGCGCTCTGAGCCATCCGTGAGCTGCACGTTTTCCTAGGAGACTGGCTGAGACTAGGGTGGGGCTCAAAGCAGCTGAAACGGTGAATAAATCAAAGCCAGCTCAAGCATGAACAATATGCCTCACATTTTAGATGAAAGAACTTTCTTACCCGGTTCCAATTGCTTTCTGGCTCTGGGCTTACAGCTGCCTGGAGCTATACTTTTTATCGTCTTACTTTTCATTTGCTTTGAGACTTTCTCAGTGTCTGGAACTTTTATTGCATCCATTTCCTTCAGCTTCTTTGGTCTCTGGGTTGTCAAAGCAGCATCGTCAGGAGGGGAGGTGCCTTTGGGTGTGGGTTCAGACTGCGTTCGATGCACAAATTCTGCAGACAGCACTTCAGCCCCTGGGATGAAGAAAAGTCCTTTTCATTAAACCTCCCTTTAAAAGAGAATACTGACTTATTAGATTTAGGAATGGAAAAGAAACTGCTCACAAGCAAGCAGTGACAAAAGAGCTGTTCTCAACTACAAAACTGGCTGGGGGTCCAGCATGCATTATGGTTGAAAGGGACCAGCGAGGGCTTATTAAAGTCTGGCTTGTGAGCTTCTAAGTGCACTATTTGTCAACACTTCTGCTCTCTCTGAAAATTCAAGGAGTCTCGAGAGTCCTCCTGCTTGAGACCTAGGGGTATCTCTTTAGCATCCCCTGTGGCTTCTATGCACTTGGCTCACACTGCTCAGCATTTTTACTATAAGCAGAAGCTTTGGCATAATTTTCAAAGGCAGTGAAGTGCATGCTGGCTGGAACTGGGAGTCTCAAATGTAAGCGCTACAGGCAGGCTCACGGACTCCAAGGCACGATGAGTAGAAACCACTGTGAAAGGCACCAGTTCAATCTGACCTGTATTAAAGACATGCTCCCACTGCAGCGACTAACTGATATGAACACTACTACTGTACAATGTCTGGGGCAGCTGTTGGAGATCAAACACTGTTTTTTATAATCAAGGCATTCAGACTAAGTTCACTGCAATGTTTTCTTCACCTACTGTCATGGGGGTCGTGCCAAGAATGCCATTCCCCTGTAAGGAAGCCTAAACTAAAACCGAGAAGGGAAACCATATTTTCTCACATATAATATACAACTTTTCCCCCCAAATCATAAAGGAGTAGGGCTGGAAGGGACCTCTGGAGGTCATCTACGGCAACCCCCTCCCCTCCTAATCCAAACCATCCTGTACAAGACACAGAGCGGGTCTTGCAGCTGCCAAGGCGGTGGGGTCCTGTGTTAACCCTCTCACAGCTACAGCTGTTGGCTGAGCAGTACAGTCTGTGCCTGAGGCAGGTAGTAGGCTGCTGGTATCGTCTCGATGAGGCTTGTGACGTGGAAACAACACTGTATTTACAGGGACTTGTAAGGGCTACTTACAGTAAAGAACCAGCAGTCTTGCTACTGCCCTTGCAAGGATGTGAGGTCCTACCTTCTCTGACATACAGTAAGTCCTCCTGGAAATACAGAGGGTCTAAAAAGCATGGCATACCTGAAGACCATCTGGGTGAGGCAGCAGGCACCAGGGACCTCCTGCTGCCACACTTCCTGACCACACCATGCTAGCGGTTCCCAAACTTTGACAGACCGAGCACCGCCAATTTAAAATGATACAGCCTTAAGTACCACCAGCACATTTTTCATACACATAGGTCACAGGCTATGTATTAGAACAACATCAAAACCTATAGTAACCATCAAATGTTGTTTTATCAGTTACAGTAGCCATCTCAAACAATTGTCAATTAGAAAAAAGACAGCGTAAACCAGGGGCAGGCAACATTTTTGGCCGGAGTACTGAAAAAACTGCAACGTGCACCCTGTAAGGTGCAGGAGAGCTGGCACATGAGAAAACCAAAACTGGGCTGGGGGGGTACATGGCAGGACATATTGCATATTAATATAGTTAATAATCATAAGTGTTTCATAGTTTCATAGTAGTTTGGGGTCAGAAGGAACCTGAACAGATCATCTAGTCTGACTCCCTGCCACTGGCCGGAGCACACGCTGGGATCACACAACCCC